CATTAATTATATATTCTGTATATAAAACTATTGGTTTAAACATTCATTCCGTGAGTGTACATTCCTTAAAGGAATCAAAATTGACTGAAAATTGTATTCGTTTTAATGTTTTGTGTATGCTGTTTAATTACGTATGTAGTGCGTGTATCTTTAATGTCACTATATATTATTGTTTTAAAACGACAGGAAGAACACAAAACCCACTTATCAATCATGTGTATCTGACTGGTCGACTTTAGAATCAAGGTTTGTTGTGAGAAATAAATTCTCCTCGCGAGCACGTGGATAAAATCTAGAAGCCACCGCAGGTGTTGTAACATATGCCGTCTGCTAGATAGGATTAAGCTCTGGCGTGAAAACATATAAACATGCTGTACATGTAAAACCAAGCTCTTTGGGGTATAATCATTGCATATCTGCGATTGATTTGTATAGATTGATTGACTTTGAATTGCAGTAGCTGTACTATTTATATACTATCATACTATAATATCTACTATATGTTTTGTTGACAAAGTGTGTAACCTTTAATTTGTAAACTGAAAGGACGAGCTTATAAGCTTGGTCTGGATAAAGTAATTACTTTCAAATGTTTACAGTAATATCAGCATCCACAACACACAGCTAGGAGGGAGGAGGAGAGAGAGAGAGAGTGGGTTATCAGCATTATCAGCTAAACATGTAGTTCCTTTTGTGATAATGGCAGAGGTATTTCCATTATTATGTTGTTTTTTCAGTGGGAGCAGGTGTGCAAGCTAGCCCACCTTAAGAGTAGGCTAGATGACCTTAAGAGTAGGCTAGAGGACCTTAATAGTAGGCTAGAGGACCTTAATAGTAGGCTAGAGGACCTTAAGAGTAGGCTAGAGGACCTTAAGAGTAGGCTAGAGGACCATAATGGTAGGCTAGAGGACCTTAGGGGTAGGCTAGAGGACCTTAAGAGTATACTAGAGGACGTTAAGAGTAGGCTAGAGGACCTTAAGAGTAGGCTACAGGACCTTAAGAGTAGGCTAGAGGACCTTAAGAGTAGGCTAGAGGACGTTAAGAGTAGGCTAGAGGACCGTAAGAGTAGGCTAGAGGGCATAAAGAGTAGGCTAGAGGACCTTAAGAGTAGGCTAGAGGACGTTAAGAGTAGGCTAGAGGACCTGAAGAGTAGGCTAGAGGACCTTAAGAGTAGGCTAGAGGACCTTAAGAGTAGGCTAGAGGACCTAAATTGATATAAATGACCTAAAATGACCTAAATGGGGGCAAGACTGTCGTGAATGTTAATATGTGGATAGTCGCGTCTGCACCCGAGATGGGGTCATAGTGAAGCAGCGATTGATATGAAAAAATACTCCTCCGCACAGGGCTTTTAAGAAAATTATGGCTGCTTGTGTCATCTTCATCTTCATCTTTGTTCCTTCCTCCGTCAATAATGACGATTACGGATGATTAGGTCTTGTGCTGTAGTGCGTTAATTGTTATGTACAGTGATTTTGTTTATGTTTCTATTATTTGCTATAGGATAAAAACAGGTTAAAAGCAGTGAGTGTTAGTTATGTTGTAGGTTTTGTATATGTTCGTTTATGTTATGTGTGGTGCATGTCCTGAATTCTGCTAGCGTTTCTGATTGGATTATTGATTTGGGTAGGAGGTGCCACTGTATTATGATGTATGAAAAGAATGAGTGTCTGTATGTGTCTTTGGTTGTGTAGATATGTCTGTAACTAAGCTCGTGACCTTGACGTATTCTGGTGTCTGCCAGGAAGAGATTGTTAGTATGTATTGCTACTTGTTGGTGTATTATTTTGTAGAGAAGAATAATGCGTGTTCTTGTTCTGCGTGTGTACAATGTTGTTGGCCATTTCAAGTTGTGAATCATATCTGTGACTGAGCTTGTGTTATGGTATGTGTGTAGGACGTATCGTGCTGCTCTTCGTTGTACTTGTTCTAATTGATTTATGTTATTTGTATAATGAGGGTCCCAAACTGAAGAGCAGTATTCAAGTTTTGGTCTTACAATGGCCTTGTATGCATGTTCTTTTATGTGTGGTGAGTTAAGTTTAGGTTGCGTTTCAGAAAACCTAGTGATTTATTTGCTTTTGATGTGATGTTGTTGATATGTTTGTACCATTTTAATTTGTTTTGAAGTGTGATGCCTAGATATTTGTTTGAAGTTACAGATTCTAGTGTGTGGCCATGGAGTGTGTATTGGTGTTTAATTTGTGTGCGTTGTGGTGATATAGTGAGGTATGGTGAAATTGTCTGGGTGGAATTTCATGAGTCAGTCCTCTTCCCATTTACTAACCGCATCTAAATATGTTTGTAGTTTTGTCGTGTCGTCTTTGTTGTTGATTGTTTTATACAGTATGCTGTCGTCTGCAAACAGTCTTAGTGTACTGTGTGATATGTATTCGGGGAGGTCATTGATGTATTATAGGAAGAGGACCGGTCCCAAATAGGTTCCTTGAGGCACACGAGATGTAACTTGGATTTTGTCGGAGTGTTTGCCCTTAAGTACTACTGTTTGTGTGCGTTGTGATAGGAAGGCTGTTATTCATGTTAGTGTGGTTCCGGAGATACCGTAATAATTTAGTTTGTACTGTAAGTGTTTGTGTGGGACTTTGTCAAAGGATTTGGCAAAATACATTATTATAATGTCTGTTTGTTTGTTGTTGTTGTGGTTCTGTGCAAAGTCTTGTATGAATGTAATGAGTTGTATTTCGCAAGATCTTGATGTGCGGAAGCCGTGTTGTAGGTCGTGCAATATTGTCTTCTAAGTGTTTCATGGTTGCACTTGTGATGATGTGTTCTAGAATGTTGCAAGCGATGCATGTGAGTGATATTGGTCTGTAGTTTGTTGGGTTTTATTTGTCTCCTTTTTTGTATATGGGGTTTACGTTGGCGTGTTTCCAGGCACTGAGTAATGTTCCTGTATTGAGTGATGTTTGGAATATTTTTGATAGTATTGGTGCTGTGATATCCTTAAGTTCTTTCAGTATTCTGTCGTGTATATGGTCTGGGCCTGTTGGTTTGTGTGGGTTAATGCTATTTAGTAGTTTTTCGACTCCTTGGCATGTTACATGTATATCTGTCATGGGTTGAAAGGGCAATATTCCTTTGTCAGGTATTGTTGTGTTTTGTTCTAGTGTGAAGGCTTCTTGGAACTGTTCATTGAGTATGTTTGCCTTTGTTTCTGGGTCTGTTGTGAGATGGACGTTTTTACGTAGTTCTATGATGTCTGTGTTTTCTTTTTTTGTGGTTTTGATGAATGAGAAGAGTTTTTTTAGGGTTGTATTTGTTCCTTGTGCTGGAATATAGTGTCGTGTTATTTATTTTATTTACTATAGTGACAATGAAAACCATACATCCTGAGTTAAATTAAAACATACAGGGCTGCTAACAGCAATTTTCTATCTGTTCTTGCAAATGCATACATTATATAGTGACAGTGAATCATAATATTAATGTTTCCAATACCGATCAACTTCCGACCTAGAAAAATGCAGGGTCAACTTTACCTACATATCTGTCACCCTTCACAATTTCAACAACCTAAACCTTCTAGTGTTTAAGCAACTTTGTAAACAAACTCTTAAAACCGCACTACCTGTCTGCAAGGAGGCTCTGCAAGTGTAAGGTAGGCAACATCATGAAAATATCGGGGAATGAAAATGTCATTCAAATCAACATATTAAAGGAAACACTAGCACATGATTAAGAATACCAAGTAAATAACAGAAAGTATATACATTTTCTTGTTCACGGTGGGTACAAGTACCTGCCAAGATCAAATTGGACCCCGACAACCGGGTTTAGCAGCTCTAAGCAAACCAGTAATATGTCAAGAGGACAACGTTGACCTTTGCTTCTTGTTCAGAGAGTCGGCATAAAATCTGACGTCGGTATAAGATCTGCACTTTCGCAAGAAGACGAATACAGCAACGCATAGTGTATATGCGATAACAGCAGTATATTTCATACGCAATAACTGTTTTGTTTTGTTAATGCATTTTATGTTGTGGTATTGCGTCATAGTGACTGATAATACTTTGTTATATAATGTGATATATAAGCGTTCATGTTTCTGTCTTCCAAAAAGGGAGCGGATTACCCTGAAAACCCCCCTGACAAATCCCGTTGCCTGCACTGTCGTTATAACTTATTCAATACTTCTTAGTAATATGTATCCAACGACCGTTTGTTTGTTCGGATCCAGCCAGTGCCCATATTAGATCCAACTGTCGTTACTACTTCCATAACTAAAGCCGATTCTTTCCGAAATGTACATGTTAGTAAACATTTTCATGAATGTCCAGTGATGTATTTAATGCAAAACTGTTTTACCAGCACAATTATAAAAGAAAAGAAGGAATACAATTTCGACAAAATATTCAAACTAAGTCTCAACAGGTCACCGTAAACAAAACAAACATGTGAAGGATGAAAACTGCTAGTTTTAAAGTCTGTCGTTATATCTTATTGTTTCTTTATAGATAGTATACCTTTGTCCGTAAGACATATCGTAAGCACGTTGTATTAATATTGAATAACTTCATATCGGATTGTTTAATATCTTCATAAGATAAACAGGAAACATGTATCAATGTTTTGTGTGTTAAAATCTTACTATACAGACAGTAAATATCAAATTTTCCTTCCTAGAATTTTGCCATATTTATATTGTATGTTTCAATCTTTTTCAGTATCCAGTTAACACCGTATGTTAGGGAAGACTGGATATAACTCTCAAGAACGGGAAAGTTCGCGATCACAGTTTTATTTTCACTTATCGGTAGCAGATCTTCCATATTTTCACTCATGAAAAATATCGATATATTTATCCCAATCGTAAAAAACAAATTGCTATGCATTGAGAAACCTAGAATATCTTCAATATTTTGAAAACCTTTTCTAGTTTGAAAAAGATATTACACAAAAACACTTTTCAGAAGAGTTGGGACTGATGCCATTAAAAGTGCGATTCTAACTTCACACAAATAAGACATAGAGCATAGACGAAGTTTTGATTTGTTTATTATTTTATCCTGTAGATGAAGTTGTTTCCACAAAGCCGTCCTCAAGGCCTATCGATCATAATGTAATATACGATACATCTTCAATCGCCAATAGGAGGCAATCCTGGATTTCCGAATGCATCATTGTCAACTGAAAGATCAAGGTACCATTAATGTAATATGGTAGTAACACATTAACACAGTACCCAATGACGTCAAACACACAATTAATATACTGGTAAGTTAACATGAAATGAAACGTATGTATGGATATAGAGTAATAAAATACAGCAAGCATGCCGCAACAATTAAAAGACATTACTAAAAAAGCTAGTATGCAGACACACATCAAAATGAACGGTAAATATATCCGAACAACCATTTGAAAACGCCGATGATGACACACGACATTGAATGAAATATATCCTTAACCCAGATTGGGTACCTGAGGGTGGTTAAAATGTACCCAATGGCAGCATATCTTTCATAAAAAGACATAGTATGCCTATCATATACATTCAATAAATGTCTGGGTCAAAACTTAATATTTTCATATTTAGTACATGCTAGATTTTAATTGTTTGGTGATACAATAATTACCGTCCTTCTGGACCAGTTCATGTGTACACAGAAGGTTAGGAAACAATAGGAACATTTCAAAATCAGATTTGAAACAATATGTTGATCACTGTAAAAAATGTACAAGCCATTCATTTTTTGCTTTCATTATAAGATATTCGAGAAAAGTCGGATATCACGTGGCAAAAGAAAAATATCGTTTATACTCGAACTTTAATGAGTTCCTCACCAGTCAACATACTTTTTTGTCCATATAACTCGCATCATTAATTGATTTCAGATTATTCGAACGGGTCATTACGTGTAGGTCTGCTTGTGTATTTTCTAGGCATAAATCAATTGAATTTAACACTAAAATCAACATATTGTCATAAAATCATCGGAAACACAAAGTAAGGCCGCACATGTTTAAACTCTAAGAACGCCAATAAGAAAACATTAACTTCAATCTATGATCATTTGACCTAGTGGTTCCAAAGACTAAATGTAAATCCGTGTTCAAAGTTTTCCAAATATATGTAGAAATACAACAAAAGATGAAACATACTCCTAAGTCTCTATAATTTGTTTTAGCTAAAACAAATACTTTATTTCATATTAGCACCTCATATATACAGTGCCAGAACAACATATACATTTTCAAAGTAACTTTGTGTGTATCTGTTAAGTAATCTACTCATAACAACAGATGAGACGTTTTCTGATAAGTTTTTTATCATGTAAAAGTTTCAAACAGCTTAGTTTATTAACAAAAGTAAATGAAAGGACAGGATATCCATTGATTTTGTGACTTACCTCGTTTCACACGCTGATTTTTCGCTGTGCCGTCATTTGTTCCACTATTGTCTCCATTCCCTTGGTTGTCCGACCCTGCAAGTTCATTTCAATCAACAGAGTATCAGTAAGTTCTGATTATGATAAATATTGATATATAATAGCTATAACATATCTCTAAATAATTTGCCAATATTCGTTTTCAACTTTGAGTTTTTCTTGTAGTATGTAGATTTAAAGTCGTGCCATCAGAATGGTTTACGATTCAAATAGATATGTTATTCCTTAAAATATGATAGCAAAAGGCCAACAACATGTAGATTGAATATGACTGAAATATATTTTTTGATGATATTTCAAACAACAAATGACTTTAAAGAGTTGTTGACGTCATTGAAATGTGATGACAAAAACAAAACACTATGACCTGTTTGAGTGTAATATTTATCTCTATATTTCAAAACGTGAAAATATTGATAAAAGTATGTCTCTCTTCTTCGAAAGCGTATCTCTAATGTATACACATGGGTCTCCATTCATGAAACTATTATCTTGCTCAAACTCAGCTTCTGTATTCTAGCCTGGTGAATTGTTTAAATAATAATTCATAGACAATCACATTATTTAAATGAATTGGTATAATTTGGACAGACTGAATTCCGTTTTCAATGACTGACGCTGTTACATGATTTAAGCAAGTTATAAGAAAGCAGGCTTGAGCACAGAATCCTTGCCTGGGAATGGAATGGTTTCATTAATCAATTATCGATTTTGTTATTAATATGCAAATTAAATTGCCCGATTTATTTTTTCTAAGAATAAAACAAATACATAAAAAAATATGTGAATCATAAAATAACACTGTTCACAAATATAATTTGCAATCAAAAAGGAATTATATATCATTGCATTTACTTTTCTACATGCGATTTGATTATATTATAAGATATGAGTTCGTGCATTTCAAGAAGACATTTATTTGTAATACTGTTAGACATATTGAGATATATATATATATATATATTCTTACCTGTATTACAGGCCAGACTGACGGTCGTAAACAGACCCAATACCAGTAATAAGGTAATCATGTAGACATGCTTCATAATGGTTATCTGTCTCTTTGCCTGTAGCACGCAGGTTGTGGTGTCCTTTCGTTACCTAAACACGTCGCCCGTTAGCTGCATTTATACTCCTTTGACAAATAAGTGCCACGTACCCATAATATGCCAGAAATAAAAAAAATGTTAAGGTTCACTGAGAGATACAGAAAGGAACGTATTGTTGACTACAGAAGTTTACGCTGTGTGTTATTTACACTATTGTACAAAAGGATTATTAATAAAGGAAGTGTTGAATTATTGTGTATTCCCTTTGAACTAATAAATTGCTATATTAAACCAGATGTCATTTCGCATGGGAACGCCTTTTCAACTGACCAACAGATGGTCACTTACAACAAAACTCAAAACTGAACTCGTCTTGAAGGTAATACATGGTATCACTTGCTACGTGAACGATGACTTATTGATTGATTATACATACTCCACAAACCAAAAAAAATGTCGGTATTCACTGTTTCGCTTGTACTACATCTTTACTGTTTTGTTTTGCTTGTTACGTTATTCTATATATTTATTACGGTAGATAAGCATATACATCCTTGCGCAAATGATAAGTTCCATGTAATTCCTATATATCAGTCTACAGAAGACACTGTACAGCGGGATTCAAAAGACCAATAGTAATAGATATTAAAACCTGGTTTAAATTGTCCTAACAACACAGATCGTTGCATGAATAAATAACGAAGATGTATGTGAAATATTTTGTTGCTATACTTATGCCTTTGCCGAATATAATATATTTTAACTAATTCGTATCCTACGGACATACCTCCATTAGGATCCAGTGTTATATGGGATTTTACCGTCTATGTTAATTCTTTGACCTATGCCTGTAACTATAATTACATGTATCTATTTCTTCAACACAATCTTTGTTGTTCCTCAAATGTTGACGTTAAAGCGCATTGTTAATATTGGCGTAAATTTTGGTAGGTTGTATTGTGACGTCATAATGTATAATGACGTCATTACTTTCTGTGTGGTGTTGTTGTACTGTCAAAATGAATAAGCATAAATTCCCCTGATGAACCTCAAAGAGCAGAAAGCGATAGGGAAGTCGAAGAAATTCTTGTCTTTTGTTTTTATATATTTATATATATAATGTACATAGTGTTTTTCACTTATAATGCAAGATTCGTATTGTTTTGTTTTGATAGTATATGTACTGTATGGTGGTTTGAATTAGTTGACGTTCACTATATAGACGGACTCTGATACAGTTAAGAAGAAATGGTTACAATGTATATAATATATATAGTATATGGGGCAAAGAAGTAATTCCAACAGTGTGGACAAGTTTAGGTTGTCAAATTTTCGGAGCGATCCGCTCCTTTATCAAGACACAGTGAAACAGAACAGTTACATGTACATATACATCATATTACAAGAAGATAGAACTGATATACTATAATTGAAAATATAGCTATTTTATAAAACCAATAGTCCCCTCGGCTAAAGACAGCCGAAGGCAGCAATCAAGATGAGAGCATCGCGGACAAGGAACGCTGATGCAGAGGACCTATTCTTGCGCAAGATGCACTATCATATAAAGTGAGTCAACGAGAGATATCAAAAACGTGGAACATGTGCATGTGGAAATCTGGCCCGGTAAATGTGAAAAATCTCCAATTTCACTCCAATTGCGTTATAACTCCACGGAGAGCAACACATTTTTGGACACCAGTTCCACTCTGATTGATGGTAAGATTAGTACGGACCTCCACTGTAAACCTACTGACACACACCAAATCTCCAACGGACATACCTCCATTAGGATCCAGTGTTATATGGGATTTTACCGTTTATATTACTTCTTTGACCCATACATCATTATATATATATATATATATATATAAGAAGGAAGATACGATTTATCATTCACTTGGAAGTACTGGCTTTATTTGATAGGTAGTTTATGGTCCCATTGCTATATAAACTGTTGTTTTCATAAAGGTTAAAGTGAATATCAGTTGTCTATTGGGCATATATCAGATAGACACGTCGTAAATGGGTGTGTATATGTATGATATTTACAGTTTCAAGTAAAATTGCAAAAGTATACATTGTTGAAATGTATACATACATTGTTGAAATTTATACATTCCGATGACGTCACGTTGTTTACAGCGGCCGATGATTACTCCATCGACTGAGAGGATGCTGCATTTTGCGTTATGTTACGTGTTTGTGTTCATTTACATACGTTAACTTTGATGACATAGTGTAAACATTACCCAGAAATACGATATTAAATTCAATTTTGACAATAACGTTCGATATACGCCAATTTTGTCGTAAAATATTCAACTGCACTCGATAAGGCTGGTAGATAATGCTAATCACAGGACGGGTTCGATAAATTTACATGACCTACATGTCATTTACCTGGATAAGTATTGATAGTTAGATCACAGCACACGAACTTGGTTTTGTGATGATTGAAGTTAGAATCAAAATTTTAAAATTTCTTGGTGTGTTTGTGATTTTGTAGACACTATGCCTAGTTACCGTTGCCGTGGAATCTACAAAAACACAGGAGAGTTCCAAAACTGCGAGCCGTTGGTACCAAATAAAAGCGTTCCGGAATTAAACGGGACATCTTTGGGTATTAAATATAACTATGGAATGACAACGATATGATTTTATTATAACAGTTTACGAGTGCGAGTGAAATATTGTGCGAGTTCATCGGGTTACGCAACATTGCAAGTTGTGCTAAAAATAGCCGCATAGAGCAACTTTGAAGTAAGAATTATCGCTAATGAGTTATGATTACATGTTTAAGAGCGAACATACAAACCAATGTGATGTTTATGTTGAAGATATGCAGCCGATTTTGTTCGTATAAGTCCTACTTTGGTCGTATTATGTCACGGTGGCCTTCGAAGCGTGGCGCGAAGCGTAACCGTATCACACATTGGGCTTGAATGGAATGATTGTTATCCTCCCGCGGGATACATTCTGGTTAAAAGAAGGCTTTTAATGTAATATTAAAGAAAAATACTATAAACATAAGGATAAGCTTTCTTTTTAGTTTAGGTTATCGGGTGATAACTACAATGGAACTCGGGTAAATTGATTAATCGGCGAAGCCTTAAATATATAGGTTAAGAAAGCAATATAACGTGAATATCTCATATACCACCAGCTGGATCCTTACAAACAGAGTGGCACGATTTACCCCAAAACACCCAAGAAACACCTTACAACACCCAACAAACACCTTAAAACACCCAACAAACACCTTAAAACACCCAACAAACACCTTAAAACATCCAGATAAGACCACAAAAAAACCACAGACGACACTTAAATAATTTTCAGTTAATATTATAATGTAGTAACCTAATTTTCGGCATCAACTGTCAAGTCCTTCAATTCGAAATTACGCGAGTATGTAGAATTATAACCATTTATTTTGACAATCATATTATAACACATATATACATGATTACAAATACAACGATGAAAATAAATAAGATTGTTAAAAGATGTGAAAATACATTTGCAGTACAAAAAACATAAAATTGTCATCAAAGAATTGTTGAAATAAATATTATCAATCAGTTGATATAATATTGAGATAAAACAATTTTATATGGAAGTTTTGTAATGGAAACGATATGATTATAATAAAACCAAATCAATAAGTATAATATAAAATGAAAAATTTACCAAATTAAGCGGATCAGGTTTACTTATACGTGAATAATGAAAAGATAAATATCTTAAGAGATATCTTCCACGTAAATAATGGAGAAAAAAAACATATATCCTAAATACTTGGAATTTAAACAACACTTTAAATAACCTTACAATCATGTGTTTTACTTAAAACTGGTATATTTGGCAAGGACGTAATTCCAACAGTGTAGACCATATCGGTTGTCAAATATCCGGAGCAATCCGATCCTTGTTCAAGACATAGAAACAAACAAAACATTTACACCACATTAGAACAAACGAGAAATATGTTAGGATATAACTTGTTTAAATCTTCTGGGCTAGCGTAAGCAGAAGGCAGAATTGACACTGTTCGTATCGCTGACCAATAACACTGATTGGTCATTCATTGTCCTCGCTGTTGGAATAACTTCCTTGTCCATATACCGGGTGTTGCAGCTAATCGCGAAAATTAGATAGGGTATTGCGTGTAATGCGATTAACCAATGACTAATATTAAGGACATTGGTGCAAAGTTATGATAAAGTATATCAATGTAATTTCTGCTACATGTTTTACTGGTTTGCAAGACCCCATATCGATCTATAAACAGAAAGCTGAATTGAAAAGTGAAGTCAATTCTACGAAGCCTCTATGGTTGAAGGGAAGCAACTCGATTGATGTACAGTGTACCCAGTCTGTCGCCAGGTGGCGATACAATACTCATGGGTTTCTTTATCCAAAGACAAAACTTGACGGAGGAGACGACACAGCAGCTGGAACAAGCATGAATAAGGAACACAATGAGAAGGACAATGACAATGCCGCAAATCGCAATGACATCCGCCTGATGGCAATATAGACGTGCCGAACACAACACATGCTATAAACGACAGGTCTATGGGAATCATCTAGCTTTTCCATTCCAGAGCATTTCATTGACTATATGTTATCTTACTTCCCTTGCAGTAAAACATGTTAAGCTGGGGGGGGTTTCACCTGTATTTACCGATTCAGTTAAGTTTATATACTTGATTCTGAATGTTGATTACCAAATGGTGTAGCAGAAACTATATGTCCAATCAATTTCATAGCTTTAACATCAATAACATTTTAATGTTCTATCTCGTTCTGCTGCTTTATGAAATTATGATGGAAACACCATCAGTTGGCCAAAATATATCATTAGATGAAATTACTGCAGAAACCTCGGACAGCTAAATCAAAAACGAATATATATGTGTATTAAGATAATCTCCCAAAAACTAATACAAAACATGGTAAACTTTAAATTTAAATACAACTAGGGAAATGAAAATATTAATAACATGTTAAAAAACACCAATACCAACTTTTAATAATATAATAAGAAACAATGGTTGGTAATG